GCGGTGGGCGGGTCATGGGCCGGAAGTGACCCACGAACCGGGAGTTTCAAACCACTGCTCTTTAATGGACCACAGGTGTGAACTGACGGACGGACCGGACGACCGCTGGGATTGGTTCCTGCTCCCCCTGTGGCCATGGGAGGAATCACGCCCCACAAGATGAATGAAGGTACACTGAAACACACACACACACACACACACACACACGCTCAGCCCAGTGCCCCGCCCAGTCAGCTGACTCCTGGTCCTGCGGTCCAGTCCGGGGTCAGCAGGTTCCTGACGCTGATCCCAGTGATTACCATAACCAATTTAACTGCTATTGATCTGAGCCGTGCTGTAATTGAGCGCCGCGGCCCAGCGCGGCGGCCGACGCCCGACCTCGACCAACGCGGCCCAACCATCACCGTCACGCTGCTATTTTTGTTTTTTTATTTTTTTAACCCTTTTCGTCGTGTCGTTTTTGTTATTTTTTTTTTTTTTTTTTTCCTCCACATTTTTCTCACGCCTCCACCTTCTTCTCCTGCGTCTACGTCCGTCTCCACCTTCAACACGTCGACGGTCGGTCAATAGACGGTCACTCATGGCGATAATAAAAACGTTCAATTACCATCACGTCGTGTGTGTGTGTGTGTGTGTGTGTGTGTGTGTGTGTGTGTGTGTCCCATAATAATGAGAATCATTTTCTGATAATTCCCGCTCTTCACTCGACCGTCGTTCCTAAATCAGCAACTTTAACACAAAGACCTTTTTTATTTTTTTTAAACCTAATTATAATTTAGCTGTTTTCAGATAACAAACCTTTTATTATTGTAAATTACTCGGGGAAACGTCAAAAAAAAAAAAAAGAGACAATTCTTTCATTAAAAAATTCCCAAATCCGTTTCGTATCTGCTTCATTATTCGCAGCCATAATGAACGAGCAGATTCAACACTGGATCAATTAATAAATGGAGGGAACCGGCACCTGGGAGACGCGCCGCCGCTGCCACCGCGCCGCCGCTACGTTCTCCATTTTTCATTAGAGGCTGCCGTCCCTGGTGAGGGATCAGGATTTCTTGTTTTAATATTTTAGTGTTCTAACTTAAGCTCCACAATCCTGCGCAGGTAGAACACTAGATCATCCTGACATTTCAAAGTACTGGAACCTTTGGAATAAAGTGTTTTTTATTAAATTCTATTAAGCTAATTTATGCCTGTCAGGTGCCCCCACCTCAGTGGCAGCAGGGGGGGGGGGGGGGGGTGACAGGCTCCACTGCCATATTTCATGCTTTGGTTTCACTTCAGGTGGAAACCTGGGCCGCTACTGATGGTTAGTGCAGGAGACAAACTGGTTGAGGGTTCGATTCCTGCCTGAGCAGCAGATGTTTGTAGGTGGGACACTTCAGTCACGGCTTTTTTTTTTACCCTGATAAAGGACCGAACACTGAGGCTCAAACCTTTGACCTAGAGGTCATTTTTAAAAAAATTTTTTTTCTGTTTGTTCTTCATTAAAACGTTCGAATTAAATTATTTTTTTCTTTTTCAAAACGCGTCCCCACAGACTGGACTTCACTGCAACTCACTGGAGCAGTGGAGCAGTGGACGTCTGACTTTTAGATTTTAGATTTGTGTTTTTATCATTTTTCCTTCTTCTAGAGAGAGTTTAAATTTTTTTTTTCTTAATCTTGTTTTATTTTATTGTGACCAGAGTTCGAATCGTACGAACATCTGGTTCTAAATCGATCTCCCGCTGTTTCTGGACCATCGACCATCGACCAGCGACGTTCCGAAATGAAAACCTGACAAATATGTAAAACTGTGAGTAAAATAAAAATCCGACTGCGTTTGATCCGATTCCGTGGCTCCGTCTCTGGACCAAGTGAATTTCCCCGGAGGGGATTTGACAAAGTTTCGTCCAAATCACGAATAAAACGGCGACCGTAAAAAATCCAGTTCTTACAGTATTTGTATGTTAACGATATCTGAGGGCAGTACTTTTTTATACCTTTATCAGAGATGAAAAGAAAAAAACAAAGTCTGATAAAAGAGTCGTAAATAAAAGTCAATTATCGCAAGTATTGATTCCAAACACGGACGAGTTTTAGACGATAAAAACCTCCATGTTTTAAAATGAAGAGACGACGGAAGCGTTTAATATTTTTGATATGATTTTTAACTTTCCCGTAGATTTACCGTCGTGATATTTACTCAACAAGAAAAAGAGGATTTAAAAAAAAAATCATTAAAAAAAAGAAAATAAATCAAGTACTGTATGTTCTCCTGATGAGTAGTCTACTCTGATAGGATACTTTAACTGAAACGTTATTTTTATTCCCCAGACACACAGAGAGAGAGAGAGAGAGAGAGAGAGTACTACACCAAGTACCCTGTACTACACCAAGTACCCTGTACTACACCAAGTACCCTGTACTACACCAAGTACCCTGTACTACACCAAGTACCCTGTACTACACCAAGTACCCTGTACTACACCAAGTACCCTGTACTACACCAAGTACCCTGTACTACACCAAGTACCCTGTACTACACCAAGTACCCTGTACTACACCAAGTATCCTGTACTACATCCTTCAGGGCTGTTATTATCGGTACCAGTACTGTTGGACCAGATTGTCAGACCCGGTTTCCTGGTTTGTCTTTGTCAAATTAAATTCACTGTCGGTCCAATCAGGCTCTGTCCTACAGACTGGGCCACTCGGAGGTCGTCTGGGCCACACGTGGCCCGCGGGCCGCTAGTTAAATCAACCAGGTCCGTGGTACAT